TTAGTGGAGAGGGTGCTCAGTACTTGCGTGTTCCGCCCGACCCGGGCATTCAGGCCAGTCCGGCTGCCGCTCTAGGTGCTAGTGCATCTGCTCCCACAGGTCCTGGTGAGGCCGCTGCTCTAGGTGCTCGTGCGTCCGTGCCCCCTGGTACTGAGTCGACTGCAGCACTGCACACCTTCACACTGGACTCAGGTGCTTCTCGCTCCTTCTTTCGTGACCGCACTGTCCTTGAGCCACTCGCTCGGCCAGTTGCTGTCTCCCTTGCTGACCCCTCTGGGGGTCCGGTCATTGCGACCTCCTCCACTGTCCTTCCTTGTCCGGCGGTCCCGTCCGGCACGCTGTCAGGTCTCTACCTCCCCTCGTTCTCTACGAACTTGGTGGCGGGTAGTGCGCTCCAGGACGGGGGTGTTCACCAGTTCACCCCTGCCTACGAGCGCGTGACACATTGCACGTGTGCTCGGACGGGTCGCCACCTGGCTACCTTCACTCGGGAGCCGGGGTCGGACCTTTACACACTGACCACTGTGTCCCCTCAGGTAGCTGCGTCTGCGTCTGCGTCTGCGTCTGCGTCAGGTCAGCTGTCCGCCCCCTGCTCGTGTCGCTCTCTGGCGCATGAGACTGTCCTTTGGCACCACCGCCTTGGTCACCCGTCTGTGCAGCGCCTTCGGGCCATGCACAAGCGGGACCTTGTTGCTGGTCTTCCCAGGGTGCTCCCTCCCCTTCCCGACTCGCCTGCTCCTCCCTGTATTCCCTGTGTCGAGGGACGGCAGCGCGCCGCTCCTCACTCCTCCTCCTTTCCCCCGACGACTGCTCCCTTGCAGACTCTCCACATGGACGTGTGGGGCCCAGCCCGCGTCCGTGGTCAGGGTCAGGAGAGGTACTTCCTGATTGTTGTTGACGACTTCTCGCGCTACACCACGGTCTTCCCCTTGCGCGCCAAGGGTGACGTCCCTGATGTCTTGATCCCTTGGATCCGCAGATCTCGTCTCCAGCTCCGTGAGCGTTTCCGCTCCGACTTCCCTGTCCTGCGTCTGCACTCTGACAGAGGTGGGGAGTTCTCCTCTGGCCTATTGGAGGCCTTCTGTCAGCAGGAGGGCATTGAGCAGTCGTACACGCTTCCGGACTCTCCACAGCAGAATGAGGTTGCTGAGCGCCGCATTGGTCTGGTCATGGAGGTCGCTCGTACCTCCTTGAGCCATGCGGCTGCCCCCCATTTTCTGTGGCCGTTTGCAGTCCGATACGCTGCGCATCAGCTCAACCTCTGGCCCCGTGTCTCCTTGCCCGAGACTTCTCCGACACTGCGTTGGACGGGAGAGGCTGGCGATGCGTCGCGTTTTCGGGTCTGGGGATCCCGAGCTTTTGTCCGCGACACGTCCGCGGACAAGCTCTCCCGTCGCGCTGTCCCCTGCGTCTTCCTTGGCTTTGTCCCGGACGCCCCTGGTTGGCAGTTCTACCACCCCACCTCGCGGCGTGTCCTGGCCTCTCAGGACGTCACTTTTGACGAGTCCGTCCCCTACTACCGCCTCTTCCCCTACCGCACTGCCCCGCTCCCCCCCCCGCCTCTCTTCCTCGCTCCAGGTGCTGAGGTACCAGACCCCCTCCCCCCTCAGGGTGCCGCTCCCTCAGGTGTGTCCCAGGTAGACCCGGGTGAGCCTGTCGAGGTAGCTGTTGACTCTCGTCCTGCTCGGGGTGCTGAGCCTGGGGGTGCTGCGTCTGGGGGTGCTGAGCCTGGGAGTGCTGAGTCTGGGGGTGCGGAGCCTGGGGGTGCTGAGCCAGGAGGTGAGGAGCCTGGAGGTGCTGAGCCTGGGGGTGCTGGGTCTGGGGGTGCTGCGTCTGGGGGTGCTGAGCCTGAGCGTGCTACACCTGGAGGAGCCCTCTCCTCCCAGCAGCTGCAGGAGAGGTACCTCGAGTACTGCCGCCTCCGGAGAGGTGCTGCTGGAGCTCGTCCCGGTACTTCCCCTCCTACCCAGGAGCTCCCCCCCATTCAGCAGATCCGCGAGTGGTACACACGGCGCTGCAGTCTTCGAAGTGGTGCTCCTGGTGCTGCGGACCCTGGGGGTGGCGCTGCTGCTGGTGCTGAGGACCCGGACGTTGGGGCTGCTGCTGGTGCTGCGGACCCGCCTGGTGGCCCTGCTGCTGGTGCTGAGGACTCGGACGTTGGAGCTGCTGCTGGAGCTGAGGACCCGGGCGTTGGAGCTACTACTGGTGCTGAGGACCCGGCTGGTGGAGCTGCTGCTGGTGCTGTTGACCCGGCCGCTGGAGTCTCCTCTGCTTCTGGAGACGCTGCGCGGCCGCGACCGTACTTCGTACCGCTCCTTCAGCAGGTTCTTGGGCAGGCTCCTCCTCCTTGTCCTCCTCCCTCCGTAGAGTGTCCTCTGCCTGTCCAGTCACAGTCACAGTTACCGCCTGCCTCGCCTCTCCCTGGTCCCACAGGAGGTCTTACAGAGCGTCGTGAGCCTGAGTCTCGTCCTGCGTCGCCTGTTCGTCCTGCTCGCACTGGTAGTCGTGTCCGTCGTGAGCGTCCTCCTCCTGTCCCAGGCACTCACTACATGACTCTGCGTCCCTCTACTGCTCCTCAGCGTGTCCCTCTACCGTCTCCTCCCGCGTCTTCTTTGCCTCACGTTCCGGACCCTGAGTCTGACCGGTACCGTGCTGAGCACTCTACTGTCACGCATCTCCTCGCTACTGTTGTCACTGACCCTACCTTTGAGTCCTCGACTGCGTCTGCTCTGGTCGCTGAGTTGGTTGACTTTGCTGCTGCCTGTCGTCTAGACTACGCTGCTAGCCTTGTTGCTGAGTCTGAGTCTGTCTGTCCTCCGTCCGTCGGGGGTGAGTGTGCTCTTGGCACGGACGTCCTTGAGGACAGACAGGAGGAGTTCCAGTGTCTTGCTGCTGCTTTGCCCCGTCTCGTGTCCTTGCTAGTTACCCCTGAGGGAGACCCGGATGCACCAGACATCCCGACCCCACGCACTTACGCTGAGGCGATGGCGGGTCCCTACTCCTCTCAGTGGCAGACAGCCATGGACGCTGAGATGGCTTCCTGGAAGTCCACACGCACCTACGTCGACGAGGTTCCCCCTCCTGGGGCGAACATCGTCAGTGGCATGTGGATTTTCAGGGTGAAGCGGCCGCCGGGTTCTCCGCCTGTCTTCAAGGCGCGTTACGTGGCTCGAGGCTTCAGTCAGCGAGAGGGAGTTGACTTCTTCCAGACCTTCTCCCCCACCCCGAAGATGACTACTCTTCGGATGCTGCTGCACATAGCCGCTCACCGCGACTACGAGCTTCACTCACTTGACTTCAGCACTGCTTTCTTGCAGGGCAGCCTGCACGAGGAGATCTGGCTGCGCCGCCCACCTGGCTTCACTGGGTCGTTTCCTCCTGGTACCCAGTGGAGGCTTCAGCGGCCGGTCTACGGTCTCCGCCAGGCTCCGCGTGAGTGGCACGACACACTGAGGACTACACTTGCGGCTCTTGGGTTCGCGCCTTCTACAGCTGACCCGTCGCTGTTCCTGCGCACCGACACTTCGCTGCCGCCGTTCTACATCCTCGTGTACGTCGACGACTTGGTCTTTGCCACTGCTGACACTGCAGGACTCGCCTACGTGAAGTCGGAGCTGCAGAGGAGACACACGTGCACAGACCTGGGTGAGCTGACAAGCTATCTTGGCTTGCGGATCACCCGGGACAGAGCACGGCGCACCATCACCCTGACTCAGTCACACATGGTGCAGCAGGTTCTCCAGCGCTTTGGCTTCACGTACTCCTCGCCTCAGTCCACTCCTCTGCCTACCGGTCACTCGCTCTCAGCTCTGCCTTCGGATGAGTCCATAGAGCCGAGTGGCCCATATCCAGAGCTTGTGGGCTGCCTCATGTACCTGATGACCTGCACTCGACCTGACCTTGCATACCCTCTTAGCATCCTTGCACGCTATGTCGCTCCTGGCCGTCACAGGAAGGAGCACATGGATGCCGCTAAGAGGGTGTTGCGTTACTTGTGCAGTACGTCGGGCATGGGGCTTGTGCTTGGAGGGCGAGACCGAGTTGTGCTCACAGGGCACTCAGACGCTTCTTGGGCAGACGACCAGGCCACTCAGCGGTCGTCTCAGGGTTACACCTTCAGCCTTGGCTCTGGCTCAGTTTCTTGGCGCTCTACACGCTCTTCTTCTGTTCTCGGCTCCAGTTGCGAGGCTGAGATCTACGCTACAGCCATGGCTGCCCAGGAGCTACGCTGGCTGACCTACCTGCTGACTGACCTCGGAGAGCCGCCTCGTTCTCCTCCAGTTCTGTACGGCGACAACAAGGCGGCCCTTGCCTTGTGTGAGGAGCACAGACTGGAGCACAGAACGAAGCACATCGCCCTGCGGTACTTCCTTGCTCGAGAGCTGCAGCAGCGCGGTCAGCTTTGTATTCGCTACGTGGCCACTGAGGCCAACACTGCTGATGTGTTCACCAAGGCGCTTCAGCCTCGTGACCATCAGCGCTTCTGCACTCTACTAGGCCTTGTGCCTACTGGACCTCACTTGCTTACCTCTTGACTTTGCTTGTACTGTGATCACTATATATATCTATACCTGCATGTTTACTCTTGCTAGGTTGTGATCACTGTATCTCTTGCTCTATTATAAACCTGCATGTGAACTGGTCTTGTGACCACTAGCTTGTGCTCGGAATTTGTGTGGTATCCTTGAGATCCACCCTGAGCTTGTTGTTGCCTTGCTTTGCCTTGACTGGTCTTGTGACCCCTAGGTCTCCCCCACTTTGCCTATGGGGGTGTGTCAAACATTATATATGTTGCGTTTGTTAGGCTACAGTGGGTTAGCCTATATGGGGTACACAATTCTAGGGTTTGCTATTTTGTACTGATTTCTCTGTTAGTTCAATCATTCCAGTCCGTTCATTCTGACAGCCCATATTCAAATGCACTTACTAGAGCCTTTTCTAACAGATTCTTGCGCAAAGAAATGTTTGACGTCGACGATTTCGGCTGTTTTTGCCGCCAAATGCTTAGAAAGTGCATGAATCCCTATAGGCGTTGGGAAAAGCATTCAACAACCAATATGAATGCATATTCGAGTGACAAATGTTCAAATGCACCTATACTGGGGTAACTTGGCCTCAGTGTCTGGGTTTCTATGATACTAGTTGTTGAAACTGTTGTGATTGTGTTGTTTTACACTTGGTGAGTGGAAATAATGGACAATTTTGGTCCTGCATCAGGGTACATTTGTAGCCTGTGTCAAACATCATGTCAGTCACGAAGTGGATGTCAGAGGGACCCGAGGGGACTCGTTTTTTATATAAATCAAAGTTAGGAAGAGACAAATTGGAGAAAACTGGTTTACATGATGACATGATGTTTTTTCCGTGAAACTGGTAAGAATGGTCCCTCAACTTCAATCCTCCTAGGTTGCGCAGGAAATTGGTGCTAGTTCAAAAAAAGGCAATTGGTGGGACAAAATGGTATTGTATCATATTACGGTGTGTAGAGAATCACATTACATTTATATAGTGCTATCGCTCGCGATGCTCGTGCTGACGATGCTCGTGCTCACAATGCTCGTGGTCACGATGCTCATGATCACGATGCTCGTGCTCACGATGCTCGTGGTCATGATGCTCGTGCTCACGATGCTCGTGCTCACGATGCTCGTGCTCACGATGCTCGTGCTCACGATGCTCGTGCTTACGACGCTCGTGCTCACGATGCGCGTGGTCACGATGCGCGTGCTCACGATGCTCGTGCTCACGATGCTCATGCTCACGATGCTCGTGCTCACGATGCTCGTGCTCACGATGCACGTGGTCACGATGCTCGTGCTCACGATGCTCTTGGTCATGATGCTCGTGGTCATGACGATCTCGGTCACGATGCTCCTGCTCACGATGCTCGTGCTCACGATTCTCGTGCTCACGATGCTCGTGCTCACGATGCTCGTGCTCACGATGCTCGTGCTCACGATGCTCGTGCTCACGATGCGCGTGGTCACGATGCTTGTGCTCACGATGCGCGTGCTCACGATGCTCGTGCTCATGATGCGCGTGCACACGATGCTCATGCTCACGATGCTCGTGCTCACGATGCTCGTGCTCACGATGCTCGTGCTCACGATGCGCGTGCTCATGATGGGCGTGGTCACAATGCGCGTGGTCACGATGCACGTGCTCACGATGCTCGTGCTCACGATGCTCGTGCTCACGACGCTCGTGCTCACGATTCTCGTGGTCATGATGCTCGTCGTCATGATGCTCTCGGTCACGATGCTCGTGGTCACGATTCTCTCGGTCACGATGCTCGTGGTCACGATGCTCGTGCTCAAGATGCTCGTGCTCACGATGCTCTCGGTCATGATGCTCGTGCTCATGATGCTCGTGCTCACGACGCTCGTGCTCACGATGCTCGTGGTCATGATGCTCGTCGTCATGATGCTCTCGGTCACGATGCTCGTGGTCACGATGCTCGTGGTCACGATGCTCGTGGTCACGATGCTCGTGCTCACGATGCTCTCGGTCACGATGCTCGTGGTCACGATTCTCTCGGTCACGATGCTCGTGGTCACGATGCTCGTGCTCAAGATGCTCGTGCTCACGATGCTCTCGGTCACGATGCTCGTGCTCATGATGCTCGTGCTCACGACGCTCGTGCTCACGATGCTCGTTCTCACGATGCGCGTGCTCATGATGCGCGTGGTCACAATGCTCGTGCTCACGATGCGCGTGGTCACGATGCGCGTGTTTACGATGCTCGTGGTCACGATGCTCGTGGTCACGATGCTCGTGGTCACGATGCTCGTGGTCACGATGCTGGCGGCGCACAATGGGTGGTCGTTTGACTTTCCTATGCTGCGCAACGAGCTGCAGCACGTGGGAATCCCAGTGCCGCCCGGCTGGTACAGCCTTGACTCCATGCGCCTCGTGCAGAGGCTCTTCAAAGGTGCCTTGCCATGCCATGCCATGCCATGCCGTGCCATGCCATGCCGTGCCATGCCATGCCATGCCATGCCGTGCCATGCCATGCCGTGCCATGCCGTGCCATGCCATGCCATGCCATGCCGTGCCATGCCATGCCGTGCCATGCCATGCCGTGCCATGCCATGCCATGCCATGCCATGCCGTGCCGTGCCATGCCATGCCATGCCATGCCATGCCATGCCATGCCATGCCGTGCCGTGCCATGCCATGCCATGCCATGCCGTGCCATGCCGTGCCGTGCCATGCCATGCCATGCCATGCCGTGCCATGCCATGCCGTGCCATGCCATGCCATGCCATGCCGTGCCATGCCATGCCGTGCCATGCCATGCCATGCCGTGCCATGCCATGCCATGCCGTGCCATGCCATGCCATGCCATGCCGTGCCATGCCGTGCCATGCCATGCCATGCCATGCCATGCCATGCCATGCCATGCCGTGCCGTGCCATGCCATGCCATGCCATGCCGTGCCATGCCATGCCGTGCCATGCCATGCCGTGCCATGCCATGCCGTGCCATGCCATGCCATGCCATGCCCTGCCATGCCATGCCATGCCATGCCATGCCGTGCCATGCCGTGCCATGCCATGCCGTGCCGTGCCATGCCGTGCCATGCCATGCCATGCCATGCCGTGCCATGCCATGCCATGCCATGCCGTGCCATGCCGTGCCATGCCGTGCCACGCCGTGCCGCGCCATGCCGTGCCATGCCATGCCATGCCGTGCCATGCCGTGCCATGCCATGCCATGCCATGCCATGCCATGCCATGCCATGCCATGCCGTGCCATGCCATGCCATGCCATGCCATGCCGTGCCATGCCATGCCATGCCATGCCATGCCATGCCGTGCGGTCCCGTGCCATGCCCTGCCGTGTCGTGCCATGCCGTGCCGTGCCATGCCATGCCATGCCGTGCCGTGCCATGCCGTGCCATGCCGTGCCATGCCGTGCCATGCCGTGCCATGCCATGCCATGCCGTGCCGTGCCGTGCCATGCCATGCCATGCCGTGCCATGCCGTGCCATGCCATGCCATGCCGTGCCGTGCCGTGCCATGCCATGCCATGCCATGCCGTGCGGTCCCGTGGCATGCCATGCCATGCCATGCCATGCCATGCCATGCCATCCCATGCCATGCCGTGCGGTCGCTGCCGTGCCATGCCGTGCCATGCCATGCCATGCCATGCCATGCCATGCCATGCCGTGCCATGCCATGCCATGCCATGCCATGCCGTGCCATGCCATGCCATGCCATGCCGTGCGGTCCCGTGCCATGCCCTGCCGTGTCGTGCCATGCCGTGCCATGCCATGCCATGCCGTGCCGTGCCGTGCCGTGCCGTGCCATGCCATTCCATGCCATGCCATGCCATGCCATGCCGTGCCATGCCGTGCCATGCCGTGCCGTGCCGTGCCGTGCCATGCCATGCCATGCCATGACGTGCCGTGCCGTGCCATGCCGTGCCGTGCCATGCCATGCCGTGTGTCGTGCCGTGCCGTGCCGTGCCGTGCCATGCCATGCCATGCCGTGCCGTGCCGTGCCGTGCCATGCCATGCCATGCCGTGCTATGGCCGTGCCCTGCCATGCCATGCCATGCCATGCCATGCCGTGCCGTGCCGTGCCGTGCCGTGCCGTGCCGTGCCGTGCCGTGCCGTGCCATGCCATGCCATGCCATGCCATGCCGTGCCATGCCATGCCATGCCGTGCCGTGCCATGCCGTGCCATGCCATGCCATGCCATGCCGTGCCGTGCCGTGCCATGCCATGACATGACGTGCCGTGCCGTGCCGTGCCATGCCATGCCATGCCGTGCCGTGCCGTGCCGTGCCATGCCATGCCATGCCGTGCCATGCCATGCCGTGCCATGCCATGCCATGCCGTGCCGTGCCGTGCCGTGCCATGCCATGCCGTGCCATGCCATGCCATGCCGTGCCGTGCCGTGCCGTGCCATGCCGTGCCATGCCGTGCCATGCCGTGCCATGCCATGCCGTGCCATGCCATGCCGTGCCATGCCATGCCATGCCATGCCATCCCATGCCATGCCGTGCGGTCGCTGCCGTGCCATGCCGTGCCATGCCATGCCATGCCATGCCATGCCATGCCGTGCCATGCCATGCCATGCCATGCCATGCCATGCCATGCCGTGCGGTCCCGTGCCATGCCCTGCCGTGTCGTGCCATGCCGTGCCGTGCCATGCCATGCCATGCCATGCCGTGCCGTGCCATGCCGTGCCATGCCGTGCCGTGCCGTGCCGTGCCGTGCCGTGCCGTGCCGTGCCGTGCCGTGCCATGCCATGCCGTGCCATGCCATGCCGTGCCATGCCGTGCCATGCCGTGCCGTGCCGTGCCGTGCCATGCCATGCCATGCCATGCCGTGCCGTGCCGTGCCATGCCGTGCCATGCCATGCCATGCCGTGCCGTGCCGTGCCGTGCCGTGCCGTGCCATGCCATGCCATGCCGTGCCGTGCCGTGCCGTGCCATGCCATGCCATGCCGTGCTATGGCCGTGCCCTGCCATGCCATGCCATGCCATGCCATGCCGTGCCGTGCCGTGCCGTGCCGTGCCGTGCCATGCCATGCCGTGCCGTGCCGTGCCGTGCCGTGCCATGCCATGCCATGCCATGCCATGCCATGCCGTGCCATGCCATGCCATGCCATGCCGTGCCATGCCGTGCCATGCCATGCCATGCCATGCCGTGCCGTGCCGTGCCATGCCATGCCATGCCGTGCCGTGCCATGCCATGCCATGCCATGCCATGCCGTGCCATGCCATGCCATGCCGTGCCGTGCCATGCCATGCCATGCCATGCCGTGCCGTGCCGTGCCGTGCCGTGCCGTGCCATGCCGTGCCATGCCATGCCATGCCGTGCCGTGCCGTGCCGTGCCATGCCATGCCATGCCGTGCCGTGCCGTGCCATGCCATGCCATGCCGTGCCGTGCCGTGCCGTGCCGTGCCGTGCCGTGCCGTGCCGTGCCGTGCCATGCCATGCCATGCCGTGCCGTGCCGTGCCGTGCCGTGCCGTGCCGTGCCGTGCCGTGCCATGCCATGCCATGCTGTGCTGTGCCATGCCATGCCATGCCATGCCATGCCATGCCATGCCGGGCCTTGCTGTGCCATGCCATGCCGTGCCGTGCCATGCCATGCCATGCCATGCCATGCCGTGCCATGCCATGCCATGCCGTGCCATGCCATGCCATGCCATGCCATGCCGTGCCATGCCATGCCATGCCATGCCGTGCCATGCCATGCCGTGCCGTGCCATGCCATACCATGCCATGCCATGCCATGCCATGCCATGCCATGCCGTGCCGTGCCGTGCCGTGCCATGCCATGCCATGCCATGCCGTGCCGTGCCATGCCATGCCATGCCGTGCCATGCCGCGCATCGTAAGCACGCGCGTCGTGAGCACGCGCATTGTGAGCACGCGCATCGTGAGCATGAGCATCGTGACCACGAGCATCGTGACCACGAGCATCGTGACCACGAGCATCGTGACCGAGGGCATTGTGACCACGAGCATCGTGAGCACGAGCATCGTGAGCACGAGACTCGTGAGCACGAGCATCGTGACAACGAGCATCGTGACGACGAGCACCGTGAGTGACCACGAGCATCGTGACCACGAGCATCGTGACCACGAGCATCGTGAGCACGAGCATCGTGAGCGAGAGCTTCGTGAACGAGAGCATCGTGAGCGAGAGCATCGTGAGCGAGAGCATCGTGACCACGAGCATCGTGACCACGAGCATCGTGACCACGAGCATCGTGACCACGAGCATCGTGAGAACGAGCATCGTGAGCACGAGCATCGTGAGCGAGAGCTTCGTGAACGAGAGCATCGTGAGCGAGAGCATCGTGAGCGAGAGCATCGTGAGCACGAGCATCGTGAGCACGAGCATCGTGAGCATGAGCATTGTGAGCACGAGCATTGTGAGTGACCACGAGCATCGTGACCACGAGCATCGTGACCACGAGCATCGTGAGCACGAGCATCGTGAGCACGCCCATCGTGAGCATGAGCATCGTGACCACGAGCATCGTGACCACGAGCATCGTGACCACGAGCATCGTGACCACGAGCATCGTGACCACGAGCATCGTGACCACGAGCATCGTGACCACGAGCATCGTGACCACGAGCATTGTGAGCACGAGCATCGTGAGCACGAGCATCGTGAGCACGAGCATCGTGACCACAAGCATCGTGAGCACGAGCATCGTGAGCACGAGCATTTTGAGCACGAGCATTGTGAGTGACCACGAGCATCGTGACCACGAGCATCGTGACCACGAGCATCGTGAGCACGAGCATCGTGAGCACGCCCATCGTGACCACGAGCATCGTGACCACGAGCATCGTGACCACGAGCATCGTGACCACGAGCATCGTGACCACGAGCATCGTGACCACGAGCATCGTGAGAACGAGCATCGTGAGCACGAGCATCGTGAGCGAGAGCTTCGTGAACGAGAGCATCGTGAGCGAGAGCATCGTGAGCGAGAGCATCGTGAGCACGAGCATCGTGAGCACGAGCATCGTGAGCACGAGCATTGTGAGCACGAGCATTGTGAGCACTAGCATCAAGCATCGTGAGCACGAGCATCGTGAGTGACCACGAGCATCATGACCACGAGCATCGTGAGCACGAGCATCGTGAGCACGCCCATCGTGAGCATGAGCATCGTGAGAACGCGCATCGTGACCACGAGCATCGTGACCACGAGCATCGTGACCACGAGCATCGTGACCACGAGCATCGTGAGCACAAGCATCGTGACCACGAGCATCGTGAGCACGAGCATCGTGAGCACGAGCATCGTGAGCACGAGCATCGTGAGCACGAGCATCGTGAGCACGAGCATCGTGAGCACGAGCATCGTGAGCACGAGCATCGTGACGACGAGCATCGTGAGCACGAGCATCGTGAGCACGAGCATCGTGAGCACGAGCATCGTGAGCACGAGCATCGTGAGCACGAGCATCGTGAGCACGAGCATCGTGACCACAAGCATCGTGAGCACGAGCATCGTGAGCACGAGCATTGTGAGCACGAGCATTGTGAGCTCGAGCATCAAGCATCGTGAGCACGAGCATCATGAGTGACAACGAGCATCGTGACCACGAGCATCGTGAGCACGAGCATCGTGAGCACGCCCATCGTGAGCACGAGCATCATGAGCACGCGCATCGTGAGCACGAGCATCGTGAGCACGAGCATCGTGAGCGAGAGCATCGTGAGCACGAGCATCGTGAGCACGAGCATCTTGACCACGAGCATCGTGAGCACGAGCATCTTGACAACGAGCATCGTGACCACGAGCATCGTGAGAACGAGCATCGTGAGCGAGAGCTTCTTGAGCGAGAGCATCGTGAGCGAGAGCATCGTGAGCGAGAGCATCGTGAGCGAGAGCATCGTGAGCACGAGCATCGTGAGCACGAGCATCGTGAGCACGAGCATCGTGAGCACGAGCATTGTGAGCGCGAGCATCGAGGTGATTTCGACTGTTTTTGCCGCCAAATGCTTAGAAAGCGCATGAATCCTTATAGGCGTAGGGAAAAGCATTCAACAACCTGAATGTTAATGCACATTCGAGTAGCCGATATTCAAATGCACCTACAAGCGCCTTTTCAGCCAGGTTCTTGCGCAAAGAAAAGTTCGGCGTCGACGATTTCGGCTGTTTTTGCCGCCAAATGCTTAGAAAGCGCATGAATCCCTATAGGCGTAGGGAAAAACATTCAACAACCTGAATGTTAATGCATATTTGAGTGGCCCATGTTCAAATGCACCTAATAGATCCTTTTCGTCCAGGGTCTTGCGCAAAGAAAAGTTTGGCATCGACGATTTCGGCTGTTTTTGCCGCCAAATGCTTAGAAAGCATATGAATCCCTATAGGCGTAGAGAAAAGCATTCAAGAACCTGAATGTTTATGCATATTCAAGTGGCTCATGTTCAAAAGCACCTAATAGATCCTTTTCGGCCAGGTTCTTGCGCAAAGAAAAGTTCGGCGTCGACGATTTCGGCTGTTTTTGCCGCCAAATGCTTAGAAAGCGCATGAATCCCTAAAGGCGTAGGGAAAAGCATTCAACAACCTGAATGTTAATGCATATTCGAGTGGCCCATGTTTAAATGTACCTACTAGAGCCTTTTCGGCCAGGTTCTTGCGCAAAGAAAAGTTCGGCGTCGATGATTTCGGCTGTTTTTGCCGTCAAATGCTTAGAAAGCGCGTGAATCCCTATAGGTGTAGGGAAAAGCATTCAACAACCTGAATGTTAATGCATATTCGAGTGGCCCATGTTCAAATACACCTACTAGAGCCTTTTCGGCCAGGTTCTTGCGCAAAGAAAAGTTCGGCGTCGACGATTTCGGCTGTTTTTGCCGCCAAATGCTTAGAAAGTGCATGAATCCCTATAGGCGTATGGAAAAGCATTCAACAACCTGAATGTGAATGCATGTTCGAGTGGCCCATATTCAAATGCACTTACTAGACCCTTTTTTGCCAGATTCTTGCGCAAAGAAAAGTTCGGCGTCGACGATTTCGGCTGTTTTTGCCGCCAAATGCTTAGAAAGTGCATGAATCCCTATAGGCGTAGGGAAAAGCATTCAACAACCTGAATGTTAATGCATATTCGAGTGGCCCATGTTCAAATGCACCTACTAGATCCTTTTCGGCCAGGTTCTTGTGCCAAGAAAAGTTCGGCGCCGACGACTTCGTCTGTTTTGCCGCCAAGGAGTACAACTTTGATATCAAAGCTGATTCTAACCTCGTTTGTTCTTTAATATGGTATCAGAGCAGGTTATGACTTCTCTTTTGATTTGGCTACCCTAGCTATCTTGGTAACACATTCCCCCGGTTGGCCCACCCCCTTCCTCCCAATAGCACCCCTAGCGCACCCTTATCACACAACCGGTCTAGCTGGTCCACCCACACTAGCCAACGCGCCACCTTACGACGCCAGATGCGCCAACCAGTCGCACCAACCACTCTCGCCAGCCAGCGCGCCAGCCATCCGCGCCAACCAGCCCTGCCAGCCAGCCGTACCAGGCGCTAGCCAGCTTGCGCTAGCAACACCAGTCGCGCCAGCTACGCCAGCCAGGTGCCACAATCATGATTGAGTACAATGTACGATTTGAGAATATTGTAGATGTTCCATGCACTATAGTTCTGGACACATCGAGCATGAGATCTGCTCTTGCAAGCTAGCCAGGTTCTTGCGCAAAGAAAAGTTCGGCGCCGACGACTTCGTCTGTTTTGCCGCCAAGGAGTGCAACTTTGATATCAAAGCTGATTCTAACCTCGTTTGTTCTTTAATATGGTATCAGAGCAGGTTATGACTTCTCTTTCGCTTTGCCTACCCTAGCTACCCTGGTAACGCATTCCTCCGGTTGGCCCACCCCCTCCCTCCCAAGAGCACCCCTAGCGCACCTCTATCACACAACCGGTCTAGTTGGTCCACCCACATTAGCCAACGCGCCACCTTACGACACCAGATGCGCCAACCAGTCGCACCAACCACTCTCGCCAGCTAGCGCGCCAGCCATCCGCGCCAACCAGCCCTGCCTGCCAGCCGTACCAGGCGCTAGCCAGCTTGCGCTAGCAACACCAGTCGCGCCAGCTGCGCCAGCCCAGTGCCACAATCATGATTGAGTACAATGTACGATTTGAGAATATTGTAGATGTTCCATGCACTATAGTTCTGGACACATCGATCATGAGAGCTGCTCTTGCAAGCTAGCAAAATCACAAATATATTTAGAAACAGACAATATAGAACTTCACGGACATGCTATAAAGAAGGATTTGTTTTATCCATTAAGGGTTAAATGGGCGCTGTTATATGATACCAAGGAATGGATGAACATTGTGCATGACTATTTTCCTTTATTCGACATGGCCCATATCAATTCCAATGTTTTAGTTATCATAAGGTCGCACTGTGCATGTCATCCAATACCAGCTGTTTTTAATCATCCAGCATTCCGCAGAGCCCAAAAATCGTTCCTTCCTACCACACGACCCCCACACCTGACATCCCTCCCCCCGCCCACCCATTCTCCGCTCTGCTGCTTTTTCCGCCACATTCCTGCATTTCCCCAGCACTCTTTCTCCACCCCCTTCTTCTCTCCCCCTTTTCTCCGCCCACCTCCGTTTCCCCCGTCCTAATCCACCCCCTGCAACCCCTGTGGCACCAGCCACAACAGCAGCAGCGCTATAGCTGCTCCGACCGCCATTACTTGCTCTCTTTCCTGTTTGTATCAGGCTTCACGGCTCTGATTCTCCCTCACCATGGGTACGCCCCCCCTCCCTAACCCTAGCTTTCGATCTTGCTTGTCGTCAGCGCTCGCGTATTCACAAGGAATGGAGAGCCTTGAGTTGATGCTTATTGAAAAACAGGTTTCGCCGCTGCAGTGCAGTTTGGAGCGGTCGGAAACGGTTGAGCAGAGCGGATTCTATTCGTGCTAGCGGATTTGGTCGATCTGCTCGTATGGATGTTTTCTGAGGCTGTCTGATAGGCGAGGATGGTGATTAGACTGGCAATGGACGGTGTCGATCAGTCTGCGCGGTGTAGAAAGCGATGTAGCGCTCGCGACGACGGTTGCATTGGGAAAAACGTTGTTCAGAATGACTCGATTCATTGTCGTACTGCGCATTGCAGGCGCTAGCGTGCTCACAAGAAATTAGGGTTTGAAGCGGCCATTCGCGTAACATGAACCTAGAGGGCTATTTGAGCCGTGGGCTTCTCACAGGGCCGTGACGCCTTGCCGTCGCAGAGACTGCTTGAGCCCTCGTTGAGACTGCTTGAGCCCTTGTTGAGACTGCTTGAGCCCTCGTTCTAAGTTGGCTCATCTTATCTCTCTCCCTCACGTGTCTCTCCCCGCTGTTCCTGTCTCCCCTCCCGTCGTGTGCCGCGCCTTCCCGTCTCCCCGTTCCCCTTCCCGGTCTCTCCGTCTCTCTGCGGTCTCTCCTTCCTCGTGTCTGCTGTCGTGCTCGGCAGGTATCTCACGTGACTCGCTGCACAAGCGACGGGCAACAGGAGGAAAGAAGAAGCCGTGGCACAAGAAGCGCAAGTAAGTTTCTTCTCTGCTGTCTCACTCCCTCCTTCTCCCGATTGTTTGATGATGGCCCGAGCTTCGATTATAGAGTGCCATAAGGACTGGGTTGAGAGATTCGGTCTGAGAAGAGCGTTTTGCTCACGCCACGGACTGCTGGTCTCCCTTATCCCATTCTGACTGTTCCACAGCGGTCGGTCTCCAGCAGACCTACTTCTGTATCCCGCTAGTTGCGACCGGCAGGGTACCCACCTGTGTGTCCTAGCGAGCAGGGAGGATGAGGGATGGAGGGAGGAAGGATGGAGGATTATGGATGGAGACTTATAGACGGAGGAGTTGGTTGGTGAAGGTCGGATTATGGATGGGACGGTGGGGGGAGGAGGTCGGATTGGAATAAGATATTCCTCAGGTCGCGGAAGGAACTTTGGGATGCGAAAACGGATGCCGCTGGTTCGGATGGATAGTCATTATAGTCGCACAGTTCCATGCGTGCGATTCGCAGCCGTCGCACGGTTCGAACAGAGGTGCGGATCCCAGTTCGCGTGTCGCACGTGGATCCCTTCACCTCTTTCTTGTTGTTCTGTCTCCTGCTTCCCATTTCCCGCCTCCCCATCGTCCTCTTACGTTCCCTGCCTCTCTCCTTGCCCGTCCCACCCAACCAACCCTTCCCTTCTTTGCCTCCCTCTCCCATCCCCTATCCAACCTTCCTTCTTCCCCCCCCCCCCCCCCTTCCCCCTTGGCCCCTCTCTCTTTCCCCTTCTCCCTTTCCCCAACCTTCCCTGTTTCCCACGTCGCGAACGCGTATCGCCAGGTATGACTTGGGTCGGCAGGCGGCCAACACAAAGCTCAGCAGCCACAAGACGGTGCGCCGGATCCGCGTGCGCGGCGGGAACTACAAGTTCCGCGCGCTGCGCCTGGACACGGGGAACTACGCGTGGGGCAGCGAGTCGGTGACGCGCAAGACGCGCATTCTCGATGTGGCGTACAACGCGAGCAACAACGAGCTCGTGCGCACGCAGACGCTCGTGAAGAACGCGATTATCCAAGTCGACGCCGCGCCGTTCCGCCAGTGGTACCAGCAGCACTACGGCGTGGACCTCGGCAAGAAGAAGGCCAAGGGCGCCAAGAAGGAGGTGAGGAGGGGAAGGGGGTGCGAGGTGAAGATGGGAGGGGTGGTTGGGGTTATTGTGAAGATTTGGGGGGTTATTTGCTCAGGGGCTTCTCCCCGTTCCGCCAGTGGTACCAGCAGCACTACGGCGTGGACCTCGGCTAGAAGAAGGCCAAGGCCGGCAAGAAGGAGGTGAGGGGCGAGAACGAGGTGAGGGGGGGGGGGGGAAGGTGAAGTATGGGGGAAGGAGGAGAGGCGAGGGGATGCGGGGTTAGGGAACGGGACGAGTTGTCGGTATTAAAAAGGGTTATTAGTTGAGAGGCTTTCCCCGTTCCGCCAGTGGCACCAGCAGCACTACGGCGTGGACCTCGGCAAGAAGGCCAAGGCCGGCAAGAAGGAGGTGAGGGCCGAGAATGAGGTGGGGCGCGAGAAGGAGGTGGGGCGCGTGGGGAGGTGACGGTTGAGGAGGAGGTGAAAGAGGGCTGGGAAAGCGGTGAAGGCATTGGCGACGACGGGGTTAACAAACGGGTAACGAAGGGGCAAAGGGACGGGCGGCAAGGGTGGGGGTCGTGGCGGGACGGCAAGCTTGGGAGGGAGATAGGTTAGCTTAGAGGGGGAAGGGTGGCGGAGAGGGGAAGTGCTGAGGGAAGCTGTGGTTGATGCGCGCATGCCACGACTGGTTAAGCTCGCTCGCGTGCCAATTCAGGACCACGGCAATAGCTATGCTGGCGTAGAGGCGGCAGGCGCGACCCTCCTGTCCCACGGCCCAACTCTCAACCCACCCCTATCCCATCCCTCATCCCTCCCCATCCCACCCTCATCCCTTCCCCATCCCTCCCTCACTCATTCCACGGGTCCCCCTTCCATTCCCCCACCCGGTGCGACACGGGGCAGGGCGAGGAGGAGAAGGCGGAGGGCGAGGCGGGAGAGGAGGTGAAGAAGGTGAGTGCGCACGTGAAGCGCAAGCACGAGCAGCGCCTGGCGTCGCACAAGCTCGACCCGCACCTCGAGGACCAGTTCGCCGCCGGCCGCCTCTACGCCTGCATCTCCTCCCGCCCCGGCCAGTGCGGCCGCTGCGACGGGTCAGTCCCTCACTCACCCATGCTCCTGCCACTCTTGCCTCCCTCCTCTGCTCTGCCCCCCCTCCAACCCACTCCTCTCCTTCCCCCTCCCCCCCCCCCCCCTTCCCTCTCCCTCTCCCCTCTCTCCTTTGCATCAATGCACTCCCGGTACTCAGCTAACCCGCTCTGTTTCCCCCCTTCGAAAGGTAGGTAATTTCATGGTCTGACTACTGACATGCGGACATGTGGCTTGGCTTGGCAGGTACATCTTGGAGGGCAAGGAGCTGGAGTTTTACATGAAGAAGCTGCAGAAGAAGAAGGGCAAGTCCGCCGCCTAGAGTGCTGCGCCCCCACCCCACACGTGCTAAGGACCAATTTGCAGGTTGCTCGTGGTGCTAGAGGGCCAGGCAGGCATGGAGATCCAAGCCAGGCAGGCTGCCCATGGGGGAGAACGGCTGGACAGGCAGGGCCACAGGGCATAGGCAGGCCAAGGCATTGGCTAGGTTGGACAGCTGCTGTTGTATTTGTGAGATGTAACGAGGGACTCCCCCCTCATTCAAAGGTGCTTCCCTGTGTTCTCAATGTTATGCCACAAAGAAGTTACTTTTAGCTAGTTCTTACAAAGTTTTCAATCACAACCAATCACGTCAATGTCATTACTTGGGTTCTCTGGGGATCGACAGGCTGAATGAGGATTTGGTTGGGATATGGAAAACCTAGATCCAAACTGTAGATGTAAGGTACAGTATATACTCTTCCTGCTGTTCCAACATTTCCTCGATTTCGTTCGAAAGAGTGGGAAGCCCGAGTGCGAGCATTGGTACTGCCGCCAGGGTCAGATACAGAAACGATGACGTGGTTTTGCGTGAGTGGTTGCAAGCTTCTAGGCCGCCAGGTGGAGATTCCCCACATCCCATACTCGCCCGTCCGTCTCTGGGTCTCGCTGTTCCCGCACCTCCCGTTTCGCTGTTCCCGTTTCTGTTCCTGTTGGTTCTGTCAGTCCCCCTTTCGCTGCTGCACTCGCTTGTTCCCGCTGAACTCACGACGGCGACACAAAAACTTCACTTTTCAACCCCTGCCATTCCGTTCTGTTGCTGGTGTCTTCTCACTTGTGTTGTGTGTGCTCCACACACCAAGGGGTCGCACCCAGCATTCCCTCCACATTCCGTTCTTCGAGGCAACCTTCAGCCGCGAGATTCACAACTGCTTGCTGTCAGCGGCTTGACCCGCCCAGCGCTCGTGCTTGCGCCATGCTGTAGCGTGCGTCTTCCCCAGGGCCCTCGCGTGAATGCGCCGCTTTTCTTTCCCTTTCCTAGTCCAAACTGAAACGGCGTTCTGAACCGAGGTTGACTAGGTTTGACTGACGGTGACGATGGCGGCGTCGCACGGATCGACGGCTCTCCTTCATCGCCGCCTCGCAGACACGGCCTCTCTCGCTTCCGGATCCTCCTCGTTCTTCGTTCCCTCGTTGGATCCTAGCTTCTCCCCGTCGTTACCGTACCGCCATCAACGCTCGTCCGTCGATTTCCCCTCAGATCAACAGCCAGATCGCTTCGTGCCAGCTGGCTCCAGAGCTGCCGCCGAATGCGGCCGCAGCCGAGGCGCCATAGCGAGCGTATGTCATGCCGTTGCTAGCGGCGGGAGCGACGGCGGCAGCGGCGGAGGTGCGACCTACGCGCGGAGCTGGCGAAACAGGGGCGAGAGCGCGCGGGCTCGGGTGACTATAGCGCGGGTGGGGATTTCGATGTCAGGGCTGTCGCTTGGCGGGTCTTATAGCGGGGGCTCGGGGTCCGTTTTAGGCTCGGGGGAGGCGCAGCAGGGATGGCAGCAGCTGCGCCGACCGCAGCAGCAGCAGCAGCAAAAGCTGGGGGGAAGGCGCGGGGTTCTTCCGCAAAGGCGGCCATCGGCGGAGCTTTTGTCGGAGGAACGGCGGAAGAAGGAGTTGGAGCGCGCAATACGCGAGGCTCGGGGGAAAGGGGGCGCGGAGGGGCTGGCGGAGGCATTGCAGATAGAGCCGCCGGCGCAGCCGCAGTGGCCGTTCTGGCGGAAGAAGCGCGAGTCGAGCTCCGGCGAGGCGCGCATGCTGACGCGACGCATCGTGGAGCTGGGGAAACGGCGACAGCTGGACCAGGTAGCCAAGGGGGAGAGTTAGAGAATGGGATTGAAAGGATGACTTGGGTCGCCTCGAGCACTGGGCAAACGGCGCTAGCTGAACCAGCTAGGAGAGTGTGAAAAACACGAGGGCTGGAGAAAGGAATTCCGGCAGTCAAGTCGTTTAGGACTTAGATACCTAAGGAATCCAGGCTGGAGAAGGACAGATAGGGGGGATGGAGGTGGGAATCCTGGCAGTGAAGAGGCAGATCGGGGCTTGGTGGATTAAGCTTTAATGCGTGGGCGCGATGCATCGAGTAGAAGGCCGACCAAGAGTCAAACGAGAGTGTAGGTTGAGCAGTTCAGAGTCGAAAGGACAGGTTGACGCGACAACATGTTGATGCGACTGCCGTGGCAATGTGCGTCAGCTGCGGAGTTTGAGGTGCATGGTCGCGTACCCTACAGTTGTTTCGACTCCTGGACGATGCGAAGCGCAGCAGGAAGGGGATGAACATGGTCACCATGACCGCCGCCAAGGCGGCACGTGTTAGCTGCAGGTGCTTTAGGTGTGAGCGCTTGTGCCGCCTCCCATCGCGCGCAGGTGTTTCAACTGCTGGAGGACGCGAAGCGAAGCAAAAAGGCGGTGGACATGATCACCATGAACGCCGCCACGGCCGCCTGCGTGAACTGCGGGAGTTTGGGGTGCGCGCGCGCTTACCCCTTTGATTCACAGTGGACCCCGCACCCCATCGCACCCCACCCCATTGCATCGCATCGCAGGTGTTTCAACTCCTGGACGACGCCAAGCGAAGCAAGAAAGCGGTGAACATGATCACCATGAACGCAGCCATGGCGGCCTGCGTGAACTGCGGGAGTTTGGATTTGCGCGCGTACCCCTTTGATTCGCAGTGGACCCCGCAACCCGCACCCCAACCCATCGCACCCCATTGCACCCTATTGCACCCCATTGCACCCCATTGCACCCCATCGCATCGCAGGTGTTTCAACTATTGGACGACGCCAAGCGAAGCAAGAAGGCGGTGAACATGATCACGATGAATGCGGCCATGGCGGCGTGCGTGAACTGCGGCGACATCGACCGCGCGCTCGACCTCTTCGACGACATGACCGGGGACGGCGGCACGGGCGTCGATTCGATTACATACGGCACGCTGCTCAAGGTGCGTCTCTCTGCTCAACGTGCGCTGCACAAGGTGCGTTCGCTCCTTCACCCCCACTCCACTCCCCCTCCGCTCGACCTCTTCGACGACATGGCGGCGGACGGCGGTACGGGCGTCGACTCCATCACCTACGGCACGCTGCTCAAGGTGCCTTGCTGCCAGCCTTGTTTTATTATCTCAAAGGTACCGCATTAGGCAGTCCCTTTACTATGAGCAACGATGGCGTCGACTCCATCACCTGCAGCACTCTGCTCAAGGTGCGTCACTCGCTCCATCACCCCTTTTTGAGGCGCGTTGCTACCAGCACTTTTCGTTTTTGGAGTTCAAAGGACAACTTCTTTACTGTGAGGAAGGGTTTCCTCGTATGACACCCTGCTCAATGCGCGATTCTTCAACTTTCTCCCCGCATCTCCCTTGCGCGCTCCCCCCCCTCCTTTTCCCCCCAGGGTCTCGGCCGTGCAAAGCGGTTGGACGACGCATTCGAGGTGTTGGAGGCGATGGAGGACGGCACGGCGCCATCAACGCCAACCACCTTTTGGTGCCACCTCTGCCCATCTTCTCTTCGCCTTCTTCCCTCGCAGGGCTTAGGTCGTGCAAAGCGGTTGGACGACGCATTCGAGGTGTTGGAGGCGATGGAGGACGGCACGGCGCCGGGGCGGCCGGAGCTGACGGCGGTGCACCTCAACACGCTCGTCAACGCGTGCGCGGACGCGGGGGACGCTCGGCGCGCCATGAGTGTCGTGCAGCGCTACAAGCGCGCCTTCTCGGGGGCCATCGGGCCTTCCGCGTTTACCTACAACCTGCTCCTCAAGGTGGGCAGAACGATACGCACCGTGTCTCACTTGAGTATCTTTGCGCCCTGCCCTTTTTTCACCCATTGCACTCCTCTTTCTCACCCATTGCACTCCTCCTCTTTCTCTCGTTTCGCCCACCATCTCGCCCTCGCTTCCCCTGGCCATTCCCCATCCCCCTGTCACGTCCCTCTCCCGCACCCATCTCCCCCACCGTCCGCCAGGGCTACGCGCGGTCGGACAACCCACTGGAGGCGCTGAGCGTGGCGGAGGAGATGCACCTGCAGGGGCTGCAGTGGGAGCGCGTCACCTTCAACTGCCTCATCCTCGCCTGCGTGCGCGCCGGTGACATGGACCGTGCACTCGACCTGCTGCAAGATATGAAGGTGTGTGTGTTGGGGGGTTGGTGTTGGGCGCGCACATGAGTGCATGGGGCGTGGGCAGGGGGGGCGTGGGCCATGGGAGTGGTGGGTGCGCGGGGGGTGTGGCCGTGGGGGTGGCATGGCCGTTGTGGTTACGGGGCATGAGTGTGGCACCTGCAGGGGCTGCAGTGGGAGCGCGTCACCTTCAACTGCCTCATCCTCGCCTGCGTGCGCGCCGGGGATATGGACCACGCGCTGCAAGATATGAAGGTGCGTGGGGGGGACATGGAGGGGGGAGAGGAGGACATGAGTGCATGGGGTGTGGGCAGGGGGGCATGTCGCAGGGGCCATTGGCCCTTGTGATTATGGGGCATGGACGGTCCACACCAGCACGTGCCGCAGGCACTTCACCGCTTCCGTGCGCTATATTTGGCATGGTTTCCGAGCGTGAACATGTGTGTGTACTCATGCCTGTGATTGCCCCCATGCCTCTTGGCAGGCAGAGGCGCTGAGGAGGGGCGATGACGACGTGCTGCCAGACGCCGTCACCTACACCACCATCATCAAGGTATGCCCCTGCCCTGCACCCTGCTACACCACGGCGCACATGCCTGACCCATCTGCCCATCGCACAGCAGTAACCAACCACCTACGCTTTCATATTCAGCCGTGCCTCTTCCTCCGCCCCACCCCACAGGGTCTATCAGAAGAGGGTGACATAGAGGACGTGCTGGCGGAAATGAAGCGCGCCAGCTGTGGCTACTCATCCCCACACTCGCCCACTCCCTTTTCCTTCCGCCTCCCACCCCAACCCACCCCCCACCTCACCAGGGCCTGTCAGAAGAGGGCGACATAGAGGCGTTGAGGGACGTGGTGGCGGACATGAAGCGCGCCAGCTGCGGTGTGCTGACTCGTCCCCTCCACTCACCCACTCCCTCTCCCTTCCACCTCCCACCCCAACCCTCCCTGCTCCGTCCACCAGGGTCTAGCGGAGGAGGGCGACATAGAGGCGTTGAGGGACGTGGTGGCGGACATGAAACGCGCCAGCTGTGTGCGCAGCCCTGCGGGCCCCTCCCAGCCGCACTGCGACGCGCTGCTCGCGGCTGATGGGGCGGAAGCGGGCGTGCGCAGTGCTGTGAGCGAGGTGACTCGCAGCAGTGGCGTGCCTGGTGCCAGCAGTGGTGCCAGTCATGGCAGCAGCGGTGGAGCAAGCAGCAACCCGCTGGTGATGGACCGAGTGGCCTACACGGCCATCATCGACGCCTTCATTGCTGTCGGGTCGCCTGAAGGTGTGTGTGTGTGTGTGTGTGTGTGTGTGTGGGTGGTGTGTGTGGGTGGTGTGTGTGGGTGGTGTGTGTGGGTGGTGTGTGTGAGTGGTGTGTGTGGGTGCGTTTATCCGTGGGTGCGTGGTATGCATGGATGTATGGGTGATGGATGCATGTATGTGTGTGCATGGGCAGCTCCACACTGCCATCACATCGCCCCTCTTCATTTCCACACGCACGCACAATGCACAACATGGCACACCTCGAAACCTCAAGCCACACTGGCCATTTCCCTCTCCACTCCACCCAGACGCGCTGCAGTGCATGGCAGAGTTGGAGGACCTGGGGAGAGCGGACCGCTCCATGCGCCCGCGGGCGCAAGTCTCCCTCTCCCTCATGCGCTCCCTCGCTGCCTCGCTGCCTCTCCTACCCACCCACCCTCCCTCCCCCTCTTCCCTTTCCCCTCCCAGACGCGCTGCAGTGCATGGCGGAACTAGAGGAGCTGGGGCGGACGGACAGAGCCATGCGCCCGCGGGCGCACGTCTTCCTCTCCCTCATGCGCTGCCTCACTCTCTCCCCTCAACTTGCCCGTCTCTGCTACCAGACGCGCTGCAGTGCATGGCAGAACTAGAGGAGCTGGGGCGGGCGGACAGAGCCATGCGGCCGCGGGCACATGTCTTCCTCTCCCTCATGCGCTTCCTCGCTGCCTCTCCCACCCACACACCCACTCCCCCTTTGCCTACCAGATGCACTGCAGTGCATGGCAGAGTTGGAGGAGCTGGGGCGGACAGACAGAACCATGCGGCCGCGGGCGCACGTCTTCCTCTCCCTCATGCGCTCCCTCGCTGCCTCTCCCATCCACCCACCCACCCTCCCCCCCACCCACCCCTTTCCCCCCCCCTCCCCCCTCAGATGCGCTGCAGTGCATGGCAGAGTTGGAGGAGTTGGGGAGAGCGGACCGCTCCATGCGGCCGCGGGCGCACGTCTTCCTCTCCCTCATGCGCTCCCCCGCTCCCTCCCCTCAACTTGCCTCTCTCTGCTTCCAGACGCCCTGCAGTGCATGGCAGAGTTGGAGGAGCTGGGGAGAACAGACCGCTCCATGCGGCCGCGGGCGCACGTCTTCCTCTCCCTCATGCGCTGCCTCGCTGCTGCCGGCGACCTGCCGTCCACGCAGCAGCTGGCCGCCCGCCTGGTGCGCGACGCCGGCGGCCGAGTGTGGCCGGAGGAGCGGGCGGAGGCGGCAGAGCTGGTGCTGGAAGCGGCTACCTGCGCGGGCGAGGTGAGCTTAGAGGCATCTTACAACAGTTAAAGACACTCTCTCTCACATCGGAGGAGCGCGCGGAGGCGGCAGAGCTGGTGCTGGAAGCGGCTACCTGCGCGGGCGAGGTGAGCTTAGAGGCATCTTACAACAGTTAAAGACACTCTCTCTCACATCGGAGGAGCGCGCGGAGGCGGCAGAGCTGGTGCTGGAAGCGGCTACCTGCGCGGGCGAGGTGAGCTTAGAGGCATCTTACAACAGTTAAAGACACTCTCTCTCACATCGGAGGAGCGCGCGGAGGCGGCAGAGCTGGTGCTGGAGGCGGCCACCCGGGCAGGCGAGGTGAGCTTAGGGGGGGGATTTTACAACAAAGACACTCTCTCTCACAGCAGACCCACTCTCACACCGGAGGAGCGGGCAGAGGCGGCAGAGCTGGTGCTGGAGGCTGCCACGCGGGCGGGCGAGGTGAGCTGAGGGGCATTTCACAACAATTACAGACACTCCCTCTCACACCAGACCAGACTCGCTCTCACACCGGAGGAACGGGCGGAGGCGGCAGAGCTGGTGCTGGAGGCTGCGACCCGGGCGGGCGAGGTGAGGTTAGGGGGGGGCTTTTACAACAAACAAAGACACTCTCACACCAGACGAGACTCACTCTCACACCAGACTCACTCTCACACCGGAGGAGCGGGCAGAGGCGGCAGAGCTGGTGCTGGAGGCTGCCACGCGTGCAGGCGAGGTGAGCTTAGAGACGTTTCACTGCAGACTCACTCTCTAGGCGCCTCAAGAATAGGCTGTGAGTGAAAGCTTCGAGACGTCTCAAAGAGGCACTATCATGTCTCTTGGTGCAACGAATCCCAGCGTATATAGGATGACACCCTTGCCGTGAAAATCCCACCAAAGCTCACCAGGGCGAGGTGCTGCTGGATCAGATGGAGGCCATGCACGTCTCACAACAAGATCATTCTGACATGGCGGCACAGGTGCTGCTGGATCAGATGGAGGCCACGGCCACCAGCTGCGCATGTCCCTCTGCTCCTAAGCTTCCAGTGCAAACTGTGCAACAAGAGCATCAAAGTGGACTTGAAAGGGACCCCCCTTCCTTCCCCCTTCCCCTCCACCCTCCCCTCTCCCAGATGGGCGTGGCAGCGCGGCTGCTGGATCAGATGGAGGCCATACACGGCCACCCAGCTGCTTGGCCTTTCATTTTTTAGCTTCCACCTGCAACCGTGCAACAAGAGAGCATCACAGTGGACTTGAAAGTGCCCCCTTCCCTCTTCCCCTCCCCCCCTCCCTCCTCCGTCCATCAGATGGGTGTGGCAGCGCGGCTGCTGGATCAGATGGAGGCCATGCACGGCCACCAGCTGCGCATGTCCCTACGCGGCATGCAGGTGAGCGCACATACAGGCAGGGGCTGGGCTCGGCAGGAAGTGAAGGAGAGACCATGTCACGCCAGGTCTTTCCATGAGTGCATGCAAGTCAATGGGGTGTAATGTCACTGCATGCTGCCTTGCTCCACCAGAGCACCAACATTCTGTTCTTTCACCCGCTGCATGCCAACTCCATGCCAACGGAAAAACGATCGGCCGTTGTTGGCGTCTGTCAGCTGCTAACCTCTGTTGACTGCTTCTGTAGGCATCTGCTAACCGCCGCTGTTGACGGTTTGATTCCTGGCGGCTCCTGGCAGGCGGTGGTGCAGCTGATGGCAGCAACAGGGGCGGGCTTTGAGCGCTTCACGCCCATCGGCATCAGACAAGAGGTGCCCAGAACGGTGCTCCACACACTCTTTCTCTCTCTCTCCTCCTTCCACCCTCTCTCTCTCCTCCCCTCTCTCTCTCCGCTTCACGCCCATCGGCATCAGACAAGAGGTGCCCAAAACGGTGCTCCACACACTCTTTCTCTCTCTCCTCATCCTTTCTCTCACTCTTTCATCCATTCTCTCTCTCTTGCTCTTTCACAGAGTACACTCTACCACACACACTCTCTTGCTCTCTCTCGCCCCCATCCTTCTCACGCCCCCCCTTCTCCCTTCCCTCCCCCCTTCTTTTTTTCCACCTTAAACCCTGCCTGGCTCTCCTGTGTCTCTACCCCCACCCATTCTCGCAACTAGCAGCTTCATGTGTGTATTTACGCTGGAAGGGGGAGGAGGGCGGGTGGCGGTGGGGAGAGGATTATCAACTTGGGCTGTGAACATTGTGCTGTGTAGCGGTTGTTCATGTGTCAAATCAAATTCTCCACACAGGTCCCACTGTCTCACCCACCCTCCTATCCGCACCCACATCTCCATCCTCTTTTTGTGACACAACAGTGCTCTCAACCAGCCCACACCCATTCCTTTTTCTCTCTCTTTTGTTTTCCATTCTCTGCATGCACTTCTGCCATCCAGCTGTCGCTGCGTGACACGGTGCAGTCCGTCATGGTTCCCCTGGCTGACGTGGCAGTGGCCCACCCTGACCAGTCCCTGGCGGAGCTGAGGTCAGCACGGCCAGATCTGATGCCTGCTGACGTCATCCCAGTGATCAACGGTGCTGATGAGTGCGTGGGGGTTCTGAGAGTACCAAGTGATGCCATGGTGAGTTATGGCTCGACACATACATCATATGGGTCAGATGCTTAGTAATCAAGCACATCTTCCATCAAAGTTTACCACGAATCATGATACCAGTTCGAAGGCTACCCCATGTCAGCTTCCCTTTCCTCCCATCTTCCTTGTTCCACCTCCACACACATCAAAACCATCACCCTACCCCAGGACCCCGCAACCCTCGTCTCGCACCTCATGCTGCCCCCTCTCGCCATCGCCAAGGAGGCTGCACCTCACCACAACCTCCCATTTCCCTCCCTCCCACCCTTCCCCCTCTGCCTTCTCTCTCAAATCCAGGACCCCACGACCCTCGTCTCGCACCTCATGCTGCCCCCCCCGCCGTCGCTCTCCTGCCTCTCCACCGTCTCGGAAGCCGCTCTGCTGCTCTCCTCGCGCCGCACGCCCCTGGCAGCAGTGGTGGCGGGCAGTGCACGCATGCGCTATGGGCTCGCCAAGGAGGCTGTGCAGCGGGGCGCGGGCGAGGAGCGGCGCGTGGTGGGGTTTGTGCGTGCCGAGGCCGTGTTCGAAGGGCATGGTGGGTGCTGGTGGCACTCCGGGGAGCGGGAAGAGGTTGGGGATGGTGGGGAGGATGTGGCTGGTGTGGAGGGTGGTGATGTGCCTCTTGGTGAAGCTGTGGGTGGGGGGTTTGGTGCGAGAACAGAAGGCAGCAGCAGTGATTCTGACTCACTTGTGGTTGCATGAAGGCAGCTTGAAGTTACTACTGCATGAAAAAATTTGCAGTGTTTGTTTCGATAGGGTGTCATGTTTGGATGAGTTGTGTGCTGAAATATAACTGTCAGGCACAAGAAACCCTTGTAATGAGTTTGGGGTTTCGCTGAGGAAAATCATAGGAATTCAGGAGTAGGTTGCCAGCTGGGTCAACTTTTGTGTTGCATTGTGTGTTTGGATAAGTGAAGCTAAACGAAAGTGCGGAACTGTACGGTATTCAGTACAGAAACGTCTGGCGAATATTGCCAGGGCCGGCAATACCGAAGACGCCAACATCGAAGCCACCCTTTTCCCGCGCGAATTCCGACACCAATCTCGGAGCTGTCGACCGCGTTTGAACATCCACTTCTCATCTCATGCTCCTCTCAACTGCCTCGACCTCTTTTGTCATTTCCATCTTGACTGCCAGTACCGTAGTTTTGCAAGCTTGCCTTGCTTCAGGAGTGCCGCATAGCCACTCTTGAAATGCGTAGCTGACCCTTAGCTGCGCTGGTTAAAATGCATTGTCGCTGAGAGTTCTGCATTTATTCGCAATGTCTGCTTCCGCAAGGCACGTCGTTTCCCCAGCAATGCCGTGTCGTATCCAGCCGTCTGTGACTGATGCGGTGCGAGATTGTCACTACCGAAGTCAAATCCACGTGTCGTCGTCTGTGGTGCACGAAATGACGTCCCTCCGGAGCGCAGTGCCTCCTGCTGGCGTGGCTCATTTCGTGGTCAGAAGACCACTCCTCGTGACGAGAAATCTCCCGCATTCGTCTAGCGCATTTCACCGCCGTCGTAAGACAACTAGCGTACGCGTTATAAGGCCCGGATTCGAAAACAACAGCTTAATCTGTAGGAGGCGCGTGGACGTACACTGCTGTAGCAACGATGCAGGAGCCAATAGAAGGCGAGACGCGATTGGCGATTCCAGCAGTGGCGATAATTTAAGAAGAGGGAATTCCGATAGCTGCCGAAGCGACATGAGCCACTGTATTAGTGGCGCAGAGCCTGAGCCGCGCGTGAATGGCAAAAGCTGGAAGGAGCAGCTGACGTGGCACATGCGGAACTCGGCATTGGTGAGTGCTGGTAGAGAATCAGTCTTGCCACGTGGCGTGATGTGTGTATGAAATGTAATATTGTTTTGAGACGGCCCAAAACTTGATGTGGCATATGCGGAAGTCAACATTGGTAAGTGCTGGTGGAGGTCCAGTCAGGCCATGAGGCGTGATATGTGTGAAATGTGATTCCTGGCAACCAGATTTTGCGTGATAACCTGGAATCTAATCGTGCAATGTGTCCTTTTGACCATTTGTCCTTCACTCTCCGCCCGCCCGTCAGGCCCTCGTCCTGTTCTCTGCGCCATTCCTTGCAGCCCTCGCGTCCCCTCTCACACCCTGCCCGGCCACACGACTTCGCCTCGCCCCCCCAACGGCCACTGCAGCCACGCTTTCTGCCTCCCCCGCCTCCCAAGAGACCAATCAAGAAGACTCTTCTGCCCCAGGCTCCACTGCCGCTCATTCTGCTTCCACCACCACGGATCATCACAGCACTGCTCATGCTACTGATGGTGCTGTTGAAACTGGAACCGTCAACATAGCCAGCGTCACCACCACCCCTCCCACTTCTGCTACCGCCACCCCCTCCACCCACCCATCCCCACCGCACTCCACCGCATCCCTTCCCTTAGCCGCCACATCCCCTAACCTAGCGTCCATATGGCAGCGCGTGATTGGCTCCACGTCCGAGTGGGTCCCGCGGCCAGTGGACGGGCAGATAGGGCTGCAGGTGGGGCCGCCCTCACCCCTCTTCTCCCTTTCTGAAACCCAAGCCCACGGCGACCACTCCCTGAGCCCAGGGGGAGGGGACCACAGCCCCTATGATTCATCCCTCAGCGCGCAGGACTGGCAGCAGCAGGGGCAGCGGCTTGGCGAGACGGGCATAGGGGCGCTGCTGTCGCCGGGGGGGCCGTGGGGGCGGCTGGTGAGGGAGTGGCGGTGGGCGCGCGTGCAGTACCTGTGGGACGTGCTGCTGGAGCGGCATCCTGTTGTGTACATCATGCTGCTCATGACCATGTGCACCACGCTCGTCTTCCTCGGCGGATTCCTCTTCCACACCTTCCGGTAACCACCACCGCCCTCCCTGTGCCGCACTGCCTAGAAGGTTTCTCCACGTTCACAATACCCATGCCATGCTGCTGGAGCGCCATCCCGCGGTGTACATCATGCTTCTCTTGAGGCGCCTCAAAAGCAGTACCTGTGGGACGTGCTGCTGGAGAGGCACCCTGTTGTGTACATCATGCTGCTCATGACCATGTGCACTACTCTCGTCTTCCTTGGTGGCTTCCTCTTCCACACCTTCCGGTAATTACCTCCCTCTGCTGCACTGCCTAGAAGATTTCCCTACATTCACAATACCCATGCCGTGCTGCTGGAGCGGCATCCTGTTGTGTACATCATGCTGCTCATGACCATGTGCACTACTCTCGTCTTCCTGGGTGGTTTCCTCTTTCACACCTTCCGGTAACCACCGCCTCCTCTCTTACACTTGTCACTCACTCACTAGACCAGCCCCGCACAAGCAGTCGCGTATTATCTGTCGGGCAGCCTATCGGCTTCATCATCCATGCCATTATTATCGAGTCAATGGAGCTGTCATGCCATCATAACCATGTTCGCACCACTCTATTTACTGCTTTCAGAGCATCGACCGCACCGACAGCATGGACTGTTGCATTGACGGCATTGACTGTTTGCTTTCTTTACTGCCCTGACCGCATGAACACATGGGGCCATGGCATGGCAGGCGGCACAAGAGTCTGGGAGAGGACATGTGGACGCGTGGTCCGCCCTGGTGTCGTCTAGCTCGCATGATTGCACTCTACTGCCATTAGAGCATTCACCGTGTCTGCTTCATTGACCGCATGGCAGGCGGCACAAGAGTCTGGGAGAGGACATGTGGGACGCGTGGTCCGCCCTCGTGTCATCTAGCTCGCACCTCAAGGTACCACCTCACCCCTCTACCTCCTCTTTCTCTCTCCTCCTCTCCCCCTGTGTGCTGGGTGGGGTGCGGTGGATTGCGGTGGGGTGCGGTGGGGTGGAACAGGAGGCCGCAGGAGCCGTTTGGGGAGGCGCTGTGGGACGCGTGGGGCAATGTGTGCTCGTCCCGCCAGCACCTCCGGGTACTCATGCTGACCCATTCGCTGCTGCCTTAGACCCATCTGCCTGCCTTACCTCCCTGGACCCTGCCTGAGAGCGTTGATTGCTAGCTCTGTGCTCTGAGACGCGTGGGGCAATGTGTGCTCGTCGTGCCAGCACTCGGGTACTGCTGCTGCTCCTTAGGGCCTTTGCTTGCTCCTGCTGCTACTTTAAGGCCTTTTTTGCTACCTTAGAGCACTCGCTCACTCGCTGCTGCCTTGACAGTCCATTCCTGCCTTTGTCTTTGCCTCATTCCTGTCTATGCTCTCCCTTACCCTGCTCGAAGGCATTTTTTCTATTGCCACTCTTGTGGGGCGTGTGGGCATGTGTGCTCGAGCACTCTTGCTCGTGCTGCTGCTGGTTACTCCAAACGCCCTGCTTATGCTGCTTGTGCTGCTTGGCTTGCATTGCTTGTTCCCCACCCGTGCATGCTCTCCGTTGCCTCCCCATCGCTCACAACACCCATCTGTACCACCTGTTACCGCCTCCCTTCTTCTCGCTCTCCTCTCATCTCCCCATCAGGCCCACTTCTCATCTGTAACCTCCTATCCGTCTTTCTTTCCTCCCCCCTGTCCCCCTCCCCTTGTGCCTCTCCCCTCTGCTCCCCCTTCCCCTGCATGCGGGGGATCATGGCATGGGAACGCCACTCACAGGAGAGCACGCAGGAGGGGCGGGTGATCGGCATCATGCTCACGCTGGGAGGTCTCTTCTTCTACTCGCTGCTCACCTCCACCATGACCGCGCAGTTCAAGGTGCGTGAGCTTTTGGGTCGACTCATAAGTCCACCATGACCGCGCAGTTCATGGTGTGTGTGCTCTCCTCTTCGACTCAATAGTCAGTCACCTTGCTGGGAGGCCTCTTCTTCTACTCACTGCTCACCTCCACCATGACCGGGCAGTTCAAGGTGCATGTGCCACCATGACCGCGCAGTTCAAGGTGCATGTGCCACCATGACCGCGCAGTTCAAGGTGCATGTGCCACCATCTCCGCGCAGTTCAAGGTGCATGTGCCACCATGACCGCGCAGTTCAAGGTGCATGTGCCACCATGACCGCGCAGTTCAAGGTGCATGTGCCACCATCTCCGCGCAGTTCAAGGTGCATGTGCCACCATCTCCGCGCAGTTCGAGGTGTGTGTGCTTTTGAGTCGACTCAATAGTCACCTTGCTGGGAGGCCTCTTCTTCTACTCGCTGCTCACCTCCACCATGACCGCGCAGTTCAAGGTGCGTGTGCTCTCCTCTTAACCGCTACACCTTGTTGTGTGAGGCGTTATTAGAATGCCTGAGGGGGCACAAGTCTCCTCGCTGGGCGGGCTCTTCTTCTACTCGCTGCTCACCTCCACCATGACCGCGCAGTTCAAGGTACGTGTGCTCTCCTCTCAAGTGCTTCCACATGCTCTCTCATGCTCCCACATACTCTCACATGCTCTTGCATGCTCCTACATGCTCTTGCATGCTCCCACATGCTCTCACATGCTCTCGCATGCTCCCACATGCTCTCACATGCTCTCACATGCTCTCACATGCTCTCACATGCTCTCACATGCTCTCACATGCTCTCATCTGCTCTCACTTGCTCTCACCGCCACTCCCAACCCGCCCCACCCCCCCTGTGAGCAGCTGCGCATGGAGTGGCTCAGAGAAGGCGCGCATTCTTTCTGCCCTTGAACTCATACTCGCTTCCCCTTTCAATGCGCATCCCGCCCTTCCCCACCCCGCCCTGGCTCGCCCTGCCCTGCCCCTTTGTGAGCAGCTGCGCATGGAGTGGCTCAGGGAAGGCGCGCATTCTCTCTGCCCTTGACCTCAGATCCACCTCCCCATTCACTGCTCACCCCGCCCTTCCCCACCCCGCCCCGCCCTGCCCCCCTGTGAGCAGCTGCGCATGGAGTGGCTGAGGGAAGGCGCGCATTCTCTCTGCCCTTGAACTCACCTCCACCACCCCATTCACTGCTCACCCCGCCCTTCCCCGCCCCGCCCCACCCCGCCCCACCCTCTGTATGAGTAGCTTAACATGGAGTGGCTGAGGGAAGGCGCGCATTCTTTCTGCCCTTGAACTCACCTCTACCTTCCCATTCACTGCTCACCCCACCCTTCCCCGCCCCACCCCGCCCCCCCGTGAGCAGCTTCGCATGGAGTGGCTGAGGGAAGGCGCTCACTCGCAGGTGAGAGGGGGTTCTGTGCTTTCCATTGAGCTGTGCTGTGCTGTGCGGTGCTGTGCTGTGCGGTGCTGTGCTGTGCGGTGCTGTGCTGTGCTGTGCTGTGCTGTGCTGTGCTGTGCCGTGCTGTGCTGGGTTGTGCTGTGCTGCTGCGCCAGCTCACCCCTTCCCCTCCGCTTCTTCCTCCACAAAGCGATCATGCCCCCAACCCCAACGTTTCCACTTCCCTTGACCAGGTGATGGAGCGGAGGAACTGAGGGAGGAACTGAGGGAGGAACTGAGGGAGGAACTGAGGGAGGAACTGAGGGAGGAACTGAGGGAGGAACTGAGGGAGGAACTGAGGGAGGAACTGAGGGAGGAACTGAGGGAGGAACTGAGGGACGAACTGTGGGAGGAACTGAGGGAGGAACTGAGGGAGGAACTGAGGGAGGAACTGAGGGAGGAACTGAGGGAGGAACTGAGGGAGGAACTGAGGGAGGAACTGAGGGAGGAACTGAGGGAGGAACTGAGGGAGGAACTGAGGGAGGAACTGAGGGAGGAACTGAGGGAGGAACTGAGGGAGGAACTGAGGGAGGAACTGAGGGAGGAACTGAGGGAGGAACTGAGGGAGGAACTGAGGGAGGAACTGAGGGAGGAACTGAGGGAGGAGCTGAGAGAGGAACTGAGGGAGGAACTGAGGGAGGAACTGAGGGAGGAACTGAGGGAGGAATAGAGGGATGAACTGAGGGAGGAACTGAGGGAGGAACTGAGGGAGGAACTGAGGGAGGAACTGAGGGAGGGAGGAACTGTGCGAGGAACTGAGGGAGGAACTGAGGGAGGAACTGAGGGAGGAACTGAGGGAGGAACTGAGGGAGGAACTGAGGGAGGAACTGAGGGAGGAACTGAGGGAGGAACTGAGGGAGGAACTGAGGGAGGAACTGAGGGAGGAACTGAGGGAGGAACTGAGGGAGGAACTGAGGGAGGAACTGAGGGAGGAACTGAGGGAGGAACTGAGGGAGGAACTGAGGGAGGAACTGAGGGAGGAACTGAGGGAGGAACTGAGGGAGGAACTGAGGGAGGAACTGAGGGAGGAACTGAGGGAGGAACTGAGGGAGGAAGGAACTGAGGGAGGAACTGAGGGAGGAACTGAGGGAGGAACTGAGGGAGGGAGGAACTGAGGGAGGAACTGAGGGAGGAACTGAGGGAGGAACTGAGGGAGGAACTGAGGGAGGAACTGAGGGAGGAACTGAGGGAGGAACTGAGGGAGGAACTGAGGGAGGAACTGAGGGAGGAACTGAGGGAGGAACTGAGGGAGGAACTGAGGGAGGAACTGAGGGAGGAACTGAGGGAGGAACTGAGGGAGGAACTGAGGGAGGAAGGAACTGAGGGAGGAACTGAGGGAGGAACTGAGGGAGGAAGGAACTGAGGGAGGAACTGAGGGAGGAAGGAACTGAGGGAGGAACTGAGGGAGGAACTGAGGGAGGGAGGAACTGAGGGAGGAACTGTGCGAGGAACTGAGGGAGGAACTGAGGGAGGAACTGAGGGAGGAACTGAGGGAGGAACTGAGGGAGGAACTGAGGGAGGAACTGAGGGAGGAACTGAGGGAGGAACTGAGGGAGGAACTGAGGGAGGAACTGAGGGAGGAACTGAGGGAGGAACTGAGGGAGGGACTGAGGGAGGAACTGAGGGAGGAACTGAGGGAGGAAGGAACTGAGGGAGGAACTGAGGGAGGAAGGAACTGAGGGAGGAACTGAGGGAGGAACTGAGGGAGGAAGGAACTGAGGGAGGAACTGAGGGAGGAACTGAGGGAGGAAGGAACTGAGGGAGGAACTGAGGGAGGAAGGAACTGAGGGAGGAACTGAGGGAGGAACTGAGGGAGGAACTGAGGGAGGAACTGAGGGAGGAACTGAGGGAGGAACTGAGGGAGGAACTGAGGGAGGAAGGAACTGAGGGAGGAACTGAGGGAGGAACTGAGGGAGGAACTGAGGGAGGAACTGAGGGAGGAACTGAGGGAGGAACTGAGGGAGGAACTGAGGGAGGAACTGAGGGAGGAACTGAGGGAGGAACTGAGGGAGGAACTGAGGGAGGAACTGAGGGAGGAACTGAGGGAGGAACTGAGGGAGGAACTGAGGGAGGAACTGAGGGAGGAACTGAGGGAGGAACTGAGGGAGGAACTGAGGGAGGAACTGAGGGAGGAACTGAGGGAGGAACTGAGGGAGGAACTGAGGGAGGAACTGAGGGAGGAACTGAGGGAGGAACTGAGGGAGGAACTGAGGGAGGAACTGAGGGAGGAACTGTGCGAGGAACTGAGGGAGGAACTGAGGGAGGAACTGAGGGAGGAACTGAGGGAGGAACTGAGGGAGGAACTGAGGGAGGAACTGAGGGAGGAACTGAGGGAGGAACTGAGGGAGGAACTGAGGGAGGAACTGAGGGAGGAACTGAGGGAGGAACTGAGGGAGGAACTGAGGGAGGAAGGAACTGAGGGAGGAACTGAGGGAGGAACTGAGGGAGGAAGGAACTGAGGGAGGAACTGAGGGAGGAAGGAACTGAGGGAGGAACTGAGGGAGGAACTGAGGGAGGAACTGAGGGAGGAACTGAGGGAGGAACTGAGGGAGGAACTGAGGGAGGAACTGAGGGAGGAACTGAGGGAGGAACTGAGGGAGGAACTGAGGGAGGAACTGAGGGAGGAACTGAGGGAGGAACTGAGGGAGGAACTGAGGGAGGAACTGAGGGAGGAACTGAGGGAGGAACTGTGGGAGGAACTGAGGGAGGAGCTGAGAGAGGAACTGAGGGAGGAACTGAGGGAGGAACTGAGGGAGGAACTGAGGGAGGAACTGAGGGAGGAACTGAGGGAGGGAGGAACTGAGGGAAGAACTGTGGGAGGAACTGAGGGAGGAACTGAGGGAGGAACTGAGGGAGGAACTGAGGGAGGAGCTGAGAGAGGAACTGAGGGAGGAACTGAGGGAGGAACTGAGGGAGGAACTGAGGGAGGAACAGAGGGATGAACTGAGGGAGGAACTGAGGGAGGAACTGAGGGAGGAACTGAGGGAGGAACTGAGGGAGGAACTGAGGGAGGAACTGTGCGAGGAACTGAGGGAGGAACTGAGGGAGGAACTGAGGGAGGAACTGAGGGAGGAACTGAGGGAGGAACTGAGGGAGGAACTGAGGGAGGAACTGAGGGAGGAACTGAGGGAGGAACTGAGGGAGGAACTGAGGGAGGAACTGAGGGAGGAACTGAGGGAGGAACTGAGGGAGGAACTGAGGGAGGAACTGAGGGAGGAACTGAGGGAGGAACTGAGGGAGGAACTGAGGGAGGAACTGAGGGAGGAACTGAGGGAGGAACTGAGGGAGGAACTGAGGGAGGAACTGAGGGAGGAACTGAGGGAGGAACTGAGGGAGGAAGGAACTGAGGGAGGAACTGAGGGAGGAACTGAGGGAGGAACTGAGGGAGGAACATAGGGAGGAACTGAGGGAGGAACTGAGGGAGGAACTGAGGGAGGAACTGAGGGAGGAACTGAGGGAGGAACTGAGGGAGGAACTGAGGGAGGAACTGAGGGAGGAACTGAGGGAGGAACTGAGGGAGGAACTGAGGGAGGAACTGAGGGAGGAACTGAGGGAGGAACTGAGGGAGGAACTGAGGGAGGAACTGAGGGAGGAACTGAGGGAGGAACTGAGGGAGGAAGGAACTGAGGGAGGAACTGAGGGAGGAACTGAGGGAGGAACTGAGGGAGGAACTGAGGGAGGAACTGAGGGAGGGAGGAACTGAGGGAGGAACTGTGCGAGGAACTGAGGGAGGAACTGAGGGAGGAACTGAGGGAGGAACTGAGGGAGGAACTGAGGGAGGAACTGAGGGAGGAACTGAGGGAGGAACTGAGGGAGGAACTGAGGGAGGAACTGAGGGAGGAACTGAGGGAGGAACTGAGGGAGGAACTGAGGGAGGAACTGAGGGAGGAAGGAACTGAGGGAGGAACTGAGGGAGGAACTGAGGGAGGAAGGAACTGAGGGAGGAACTGAGGGAGGAAGGAACTGAGGGAGGAACTGAGGGAGGAACTGAGGGAGGAAGGAACTGAGGGAGGAACTGAGGGAGGAACTGAGGGAGGAAGGAACTGAGGGAGGAACTGAGGGAGGAAGGAACTGAGGGAGGAACTGAGGGAGGAACTGAGGGAGGAACTGAGGGAGGAACTGAGGGAGGAACTGAGGGAGGAACTGAGGGAGGAACTGAGGGAGGAACTGAGGGAGGAACTGAGGGAGGAAGGAACTGAGGGAGGAACTGAGGGAGGAACTGAGGGAGGAACTGAGGGAGGAACTGAGGGAGGAACTGAGGGAGGAACTGAGGGAGGAACTGAGGGAGGAACTGAGGGAGGAACTGAGGGAGGAACTGAGGGAGGAACTGAGGGAGGAACTGAGGGAGGAACTGAGGGAGGAACTGAGGGAGGAACTGAGGGAGGAACTGAGGGAGGAACTGAGGGAGGAACTGAGGGAGGAACTGAGGGAGGAACTGAGGGAGGAACTGTGCGAGGAACTGAGGGAGGAACTGAGGGAGGAACTGAGGGAGGAACTGAGGGAGGAACTGAGGGAGGAACTGAGGGAGGAACTGAGGGAGGAACTGAGGGAGGAACTGAGGGAGGAACTGAGGGAGGAACTGAGGGAGGAACTGAGGGAGGAACTGAGGGAGGAACTGAGGGAGGAAGGAACTGAGGGAGGAACTGAGGGAGGAACTGAGGGAGGAAGGAACTGAGGGAGGAACTGAGGGAGGAAGGAACTGAGGGAGGAACTGAGGGAGGAACTGAGGGAGGAAGGAACTGAGGGAGGAACTGAGGGAGGAAGGAACTGAGGGAGGAACTGAGGGAGGAACTGAGGGAGGAACTGAGGGAGGAAGGAACTGAGGGAGGAACTGAGGGAGGAAGGAACTGAGGGAGGAACTGAGGGAGGAACTGAGGGAGGAACTGAGGGAGGAACTGAGGGAGGAACTGAGGGAGGAACTGAGGGAGGAACTGAGGGAGGAAGGAACTGAGGGAGGAACTGAG